GCTCGGCACCTTTCATGCCCATTACAGAACTAATTTCTGCGTGAAATTTTCTGAAAAACGTTGGTTAAAGGCACAAAAAATGTAAATTTTCAGCTACCACGGACTCTTAAGCTAAAGAAATAACTAATCTTCGACAGCCATTTTCTCATTAATTTTACCTCTGAAAACAGGTGACCCCACCTCCTTCACTTGCATTCAAGATATAATATGGATATTTTTTTTCATCCAAAAAGAGACAAGTGAACAATATTTAAAGCAATACCAATTACTCTATATGCTCAAAAATTGACGAGAGCCCATTTCACCACGCTGCCTCACATATTATGATGTTTGACAGGCTTCAGTTTCTGCTGAAAGTGTGTTACAGATTCACTCATGGTACAGCGCCCCACGCCAAGTTTGATCGTTTACTGAACAGCTAAAAGTTTTCCTTTAGCGGTTTGAAGTTTCTTAAAGACTGGACAAAACAGTTTGGCATGTGACCTAGATCGATGAGACCTAATTTATTGAAGCGTGATGTGTTGTAGCTTTGCCATGTCAGCGAATTCGATATACTATCTTATTAGATGCGTGTTCGATCTAACATCTTATTATATACAACAGTACGATACAAACTGTATGCCCTATCCTTCCATCTAGACCAGCTCTGCCATCTCATTTCGGAATGAATAATTGAGTAGTTTGTTCTCTGTGAAATGGCTTCGTTGTCCCAGAAAGGCTCCAGGTTCGTTCCCTTAAGATCTTGCAAAGCATACGAGAGCTCGTACTTGCGTTTTTGTTTTTCGTTGTTATTTTTTTGGGGGGGTTCTACATCATGAATCCATTTCCGCACCAACTGTTTTCTTTTCTGCTTCTAGTCACAGAAAGTCGCTTGTCGTTTGATGATTCTTAAATCACTTGATTACTTCCCGTTACACTTTGCCTATTGTGAAGCTGGAACACGGTTGACTCAATGCAGAGAAATATGAGAATCGAGTGGGGAGGAGTGGGCGTGGGAAGGGTTAGGGGGGGGATGTGCTAGGGCAGGTTATGTTTAAGAGTTGTTTATCTCTCTGTTTCTATTGTGTTTTTTTCCCCTTTTTGTGGGGGGGGGGGGGGGGGGGAGAGATGTTGAATGAATATGGTCGTTGGAGTAGATTAAAGGGGTAGGGGAGTTTGAGTGAGCTTAACTTGGGCATGTCACAAGATCCACAGGACTTGCCAAAACAATCCTGC